AGTCTGACTTCCCGTTAAGACAAAGTAGAAATTAGAAATTCCTAAAGCTTCTAAACTATAATCTCTTTTTAATAGGAAGAAGAATTTTTTTCTTTTCTGCTTTACATAATTGCCAAGATGATGTTTGATTGTTATCCATGATATGTGTGTTTCTTTTTTAAATTGAATTTTTGCTGCGCTTTATTTATGTCGCAGTGAGATACAGTTTTTAGAGATCAAATAGAAGGCTATAGCGCCTACCCTGTAGTGCTGGGGTTCTAATATTATGTGTTTAATGTAGTTTTACAGGAACCAGAGATAAATGAAACAGGACAAGAATACTGTGATGATGTCAAACTGTTACTGAAAGCCAAACTATATTATACCACTTGATATTTAATGGTAGTGTCCAGAGTACATTTTCTGTCGATCCACCATTTGTGTGTATTATAAACAAAGGAGTTAACAAATCTGACTGTAGCTATAGTAGCCTTTACACTTCCATCTGGTTAATGCTTCAGCATCTTTTGTAGTATGAACAAGTCATTAGGATACAAATACAAAATTGAACAAAAGGTAAAATGAGAGTATGCAGATGCTAAATGTTTTTCAAAATGTCAGTCCATTCTGCAGAGGTAGTATTGAAATAAATCTTGAAATCTTTTCAGAAGTATTTAAAACTTTTGTTCCATCCTGAAAAGGAGCACAGTGGCATGGCAGGTAGCTCCTTTGTGTCTATGAAGACTGTAAAATGTAGTCATGAAAACTTCACAATTTGTAGATTTCGTCCCCTATCTTAGAGAAAAATGACAAGCATGAGATTTATTTTAATCTTTCTTGAAGGTAAGAAAAAGAAAAATGAAATTCCTTCACACTTTTTTCCAGATTTTAACAGACAACTCTCCCAATGAACAGAGCCTAAATAAAGTGTTTGATCTGTGTGTTGTATGTGGAGACAAGGCATCAGGTATTTACTTTTTTCTTTCTTTTTTTTTTTTTTTCTAAGGTGGTGCAATTTTATAAAAGCAGTTTAAAATTCTTCTGAAGCTATATAACAATTTGCATGTATATGCATCTGTATATATACACATGTACAAACAAAAAGGGTACAGTACTCTTTCAGTGGAGAATTACACTAAATGTTACTCCAGTGTCCATGTCTGGGACTTATTTATTGTTGGTTTAGGTCAGGAATAGAATAGAACAGGACAGGACAATTTCAGTGTTTTCTACCAGATAATTTTGGCCCTTTTTTCTTAGGCTGATACATTTTACTTTCTATTATAAAAAATGGGCTGATAAAATTACTTAAGCAACACTGTTGAGAAGTTTTTCTTCCTTAAAATAATGTCATGCAGTAAACTTTGTTATTGACAGGTTCTCTGAAAATATATGAGGAACTTGTTCATTATTTTAAATACGAAACCTGTAGGTAAGGAAGATTTTGCAAGTGTGTGAAAATAGTGCTAATGTGAAATTTATGCGGGACAGTTATTTGAAGAGCCATTATTAAAATTGTAAAAATGCATTGTAATTCTAATAAAATTAAGCTTAAGAATGGTATATTCATATATTGCCACCAAAGTTGAGTGCTAAGCTAAGAAAAGAATAATGTTTCATGCACTAAATTTTGTGTAATGATATTAAGAGACTGGAAAGAATTAATGTGGGAGCAGTATGCTGGAGAACTCTTGTCTCCCACATTCCCTTTGCACGTGCGCCTGCCATCAGGTGTTCCAGATCTGTCAGAGGTGGAATTATTGAGAGAGCATCCTGTCTTTTTATTTTAAAAAGAGAGAGAGAATTATAAGGACTGTTCCTCAACATGGTTTAGCTGAAAGCTCCTTTTTCTTTGCACTTTCTTTGTTAGAGAAGATAATGGGGTGTACAAGAGATGAGACGTTTAACTTTGCTCTTTACTTATTTAGCTAAAATTAGACTATGTAGAGAAATGGTTGCTCCATCAGAAAATTCTTAGGGTTTGTCAGTGAAATCTGCATGATGGACTTCCAGTGATATCAAAATATGACAGCTGCAGTTAAATGCCCCTTTTGGGAAGTGATAGGAATAAAGTGTATAAAAATGGGAGGCCAGAGGGAAGAAGTAGTTAAATGTTGTTAGGATATCATCCATCATGACAAGTAGTAGGATGTAGAGCAAACTACTTAGAAAATAAAACCAATTACATTTTTTCTACTGCAGCAAAGTTTAGCCTAAAAGGTGTAGTTCTAGAGCTCTAAATACATGTCAGATTTTACCTATCGCAAAGGAAATTTCTGCAAAGATCTAATTAGCCTGCTGCAATTGGCAAGACTCTTCTGGCTCCCCAGTGGAGGGCTGGAGATCCCAGGAGCTGTTCCTCCTGTCCTGGCCCAGGGATATCGAGCAGTGGTAGTGAATTTGGGGTGAGTGCCGTGTGTCCCTGAGCAGCTGTGAGTTCTGGGGAACCCTCCAGGTGACAAGCGGGGTTGTGCAAACTACTTTGCAGACACCTCCACGCTGGAATCCAAGCAGCTGCCTCAAATTGCAGGTGAAGCAGCAGCTCAGGCACTCTGCAGGATGGATATGAAGTATTCACAATCCAGCTGCTGTTAAAATGTTCCACTTAGTGATATTCTTGCAGTATATATGATGCTTTATAATTTCACATTTTAATAGTGTAGTGTTAATACTGTGTGATAAAGGAATCTAGAAAACCTATCAGAATTTCTAGAAATTTCAGGTAGGCAAGATTGATGTATCTAAAAGAAAGTTTGTGAGGAGTGAGGAAAGAATCTAAAAATATATTTTCCCTTACATTAGTTCATATTTGAGATTTATTTCTGTAATATGCCCTACTTAGTTCAAAGAGCAGCCTTGGTGCCTCCGCAGTATGTATTTTGAGTGTTTGTCAGGGATCTTCGGTTTTAGATTTATTTTTTCTTTAGGATAGAAAAAAAATATAAAAATTACAGAATTAATATTGTTGGAATTGCCACACGTGCCTTAATCAAAACCAGTACATTTAAGTAATACTTGTATTTTGTGCTAATCTAGAATCAAAACAATTTACTTCTGAAAAATAATTTTAAAGCTTTTTTTCTGTAGTATATCCTAGAAATTTTTATATGTTAGTATTATAAATTAGAAAATTCACAGAACAGCTGATTTTTAAAAAAAAATATTTAGCTGGTTTAGATTATTCTCTCATTGAAGTTTTACTGAAAAAACTAAGGATGTACCATTTCTTGTATGTTCTTGCTAACCTGTTTTCTTAGCTTTTTCGAACAGTGCTGTCAACAGATTCAGCAAGAATTTAATAAGCAACTTCTCTATTTGTAAAATCTGTCCTGTTTAAGTGCTTTGAACTAGAAAATGGTTCACGTTTGTATGTTGTTCTATAGCCACGATATATTTTAAGATCTGTAACCTATGGGGCAAAAAGTGTTATTTTTCTGGGTAAAATAGCAAATACTTTGTTTTTAATAAATAGGAATTCTAAAAAAACCCCAAAACTACAGTGCAAAATTAATGTCATGATTTATGTTGTTCTGTAACTAGGGCGTCACTATGGAGCAGTAACTTGTGAGGGATGCAAAGGATTTTTTAAAAGGAGTATACGGAAGAATTTAGTATATTCGTGCCGAGGAACAAAAGACTGTGTCATTAACAAACACCACCGGAATCGATGTCAGTACTGCAGGCTGCAGAGATGCATCGCATTTGGAATGAAACAAGATTGTAAGTCTGAAATAAGTGTAAATTATTTTAGCTGGAAGCTATGTTAAAGTTTGTGCTATTAATACAAATTGTTGTCTTGACTTTATATTTTTAAATCTTCGTATCTTTCTCCTTTAAAGAATCATACGAGTTTGGTGTATCAGAAGTCTGAAATGTTTTCAAGGATACATATTGTTTGACAAACTTAATAAGCACATTGCATGTGGTAAAAGTGAATGAGTTGTTATTCCTAGGGGGCAAATGTCAGGTATGTCTCCATGTTCGGTTTTTATATATGCAGCTCAATTTTTCTATGTGTCACTTAAGCTACTGAATGTTTTCAATCCTTCTACCTTCTTGTCGCTTTTTCCACAACTGAGATTACTGGCAATTGCTGTTCACTTTTGGCAAAGCTCTGCAGAGACAGTTATTCACAAGGCAGAGATCCATAGTGATCTAGAGTTCAGTTCTTACCGATTCCTGCAGATTTCAAGTTCCTTTTTAGATTTCCATACACTGGATTTAGTGATAATGCAATACCACAGCAGTGTCAGAGTAGTAAATACCCAGAAAATCAAGGAATGCATGAATTCTTCAGCCCTGATACTGCCATGCTGTTTCAATATGCAGAGAATTAGTCTTGTGCTCTGCTCTCTGCCATCCAGCTCTATTTTGCTGACCCTCTTGAACATCTATAGACATTCCCCTCCTTACAGCCCTGCTTCTGTCAGCCAGTAACACTTCTCCAGCAAAGAGAAAATGAATTCAGAAAGGGAGAAAAAGCTGAGGGAATGAAAGTGGATCTTTACCCTCTAGTTCAGCTGGAAGTACTTTGCCCCTCCACAGAAGACTTTTCAAGCAGAACAAAATTGCTGGGGCTGGGGGGTCAGAAGGTAGGAAAAGGATGTCTGGATCGAGGCAGAAGACTGAGCAGAGGAAAGGATTGTTCTGGGGTAAGAAGTCTCGTTCCTCAGTGGAGTGGGGATAGGAAAGAAAACTCAGCACCATCTTGTACTGTAGCTCCCTCAGTGGGGTTGTTTGTCCCTTGAAGAAGTCTTGGCCCTTTCTCAGCAAACTCCCAAGCTCCAGCCAGGGAGCACAGGGTTAGCAAAGGAAGAAAAAGACTTTTGCTTCCATCTCCCAGCCTGTCAAAGCACCATTTGTGTGTTACGGGCTAGCTTTAATGGCATTGTCAATACTTGGTGATGTTATGTTGGTTGGTTTTATGATACTTATCGATGTAAAAATTCAGATAGCCTCACAGTCCTCTACTAACTTGAAATCTTTTCCGTTTTTTTTCTTTAGTTACACATTTTCCAAAACTGCATAATTGAAGAAAAAAATCATTAGGTTTTTTTCTTATTTGCCTTTTTGTTTTAAAATAATGAACATTCAGGATTCTTTTTATAGGCTTAAACAGTTTCTATGTGCAGTACAATATTAAAGAGGCTCTGCTAGCCAGTAGCCAGTGCTTATCAGGCTGGTGAATTGATGTGTATTTTAAATTACGTACAGGCCTCGTTTGTGCATCTCTTCCAGGATCTTATTCCAATCTATAAAATTACTTGCACCATTTTAAAATTGTGGAAGAACAAATTACTGCATATTTTTAAAAGATTTGTACTTTGCAAATACCTTTTATTAATTGTTACAGTAAGAATCTCATGTTACTGTTGTTTTTCCAGAAATTAAATTTTCCTTTTAAACTTGTAAAATCAAACTGTAAACTGATTTCTCTTTGTTCTGTAGAGCTACAGAGTTCCCCATATGGTATAATACTGTAAATTTAATTTTAATGTTCTCTAATCCATCCAAAGCAAGGTGATATATCTGTAAGCTAAAGCTCAGATTCATTTCACTTAGTTCCACTGAGCTATTCACATTTAAAATCTGCTTGTTGTCTAAAAGTCAGTGATTTTGGATCAGGGTGTTGCCCAGATCTTAAATGGTCTGAACTGAACTTTGTGAATGTCCCTTTTCCCCCGTATTGTCTAAGCTTCTAACTTGGGAAGCTTCTTTAAGTGCATAAAGTTGCATGGGTTCAACCCAGACCCACAGTCCATGGAAAAGGGTACCGTAAGTCCTTTACGGATGAGCTGAGAGGGTGGGCTAGTGAAATTGAAAGAGGAAGAATCCATAAGCTTCCAGTTAAAGATCCAAATTAAAAATAAGATGTAAGGAGATTTCTCCCTTAATTGTAACTTGAAAAATTATTAAGTGTCTGTATGTTTGGTCTCAGACTTTTGACTACTATGTCATTTCATTAAGAACAAATCAAGTTGGTGTGTTAGTTTTTACCCAGGTTATTAGTTTATTGGTTATGGATCTTTTTAGTTATAACCTTAGTAAATATTCAGAATAATTATTAAAACTGCAGATTAAACAGAGAGAAAAAAGGAATTATTTCTTAGTCTTAGGGCTGTGACCTAATAGTTGTGTGTTGTTTTGTTAGCTGTACAATGTGAGAGGAAACCTATTGAAGTATCAAGAGAAAAATCTTCAAACTGTGCAGCTTCTACAGAAAAGATCTACATTCGGAAAGATCTTCGTAGTCCATTAGCTGCAACTCCAACTTTTGTAACAGACAATGAAACAGCAAGGTATGTAAAGGCTACTCAGAAGTAGCTATCTCCTTTTCCTGAAAGCACCTCAGAATTAAAATGCCTGCTGTTTTGTGTCAGATCAACAGGTCTGCTGGAATCAGGAATGTTTGTTAACATTCATCAGTCTGCAATAAAAAGTGAGCCTGCTGTGCTGATGACTCCAGATAAGGTGTGTGATGATACGACTGATATATTAAGCGGAGTTGATTGCCGTAATGGTGTATGTGGGGAGGGAAGGTTGTTCTCTTTTGTTGTACTTCTGTGTTGTTAAATTAATTTCTAAAACACTCCTTTACAACATTAGCCAGTGTTGCAGATGCCTTCTCCTCTTCATAAGAATGCTTTTAGCCTTGCATAGTAGAAATGCTAAGAACTCTACAAAGTAAATACGTTCCTCCCCTTTTTTAGAGAGCTTTAAGGGCTGCCTTATTTTTCCTCATATTGGGCAATCCTGACATTTGGATATTTCTTTTCTACCAATAGAGTAAGATGTTTGCAAAACCTCACATGGCATTATCACAGTGCATTTCATAAATACTGTTAGGTTTTTTTCCCCCAAATCACTCTTTTTTTTTTGCAAAGCTAATAAGAGCTATCTCAACAACAGTCTTATTTCTGAGCTGGTTTTCCTTTGTTTCCATTTTGTTGTTACACTTACTGATCCACTAAAGCCATGTGATAACTTTCCTACACATGCACAGTAGGAAGCTTTTGTATTTTTCTAGCTGATATTAAATTACCTCATACTGTTTTCAGGCATTTTGCCTCGCTTGCTATGTCTGCAAAGGGCCCATCAAAAGTTGTTTATTCCATTTCACTTTTCTGGCTCCATCTGTAGAGTATGACAGCGCAAGCTAAATGACGTGTAGCATGCTGGTGTTAGTAGTAGCATACTTGTCTGTAATCATCTGCTTTCCTTATTAATTTTTTTTGTGGGGCAGAGTGGGAAATGTGACTTACTGCCTCTCCGAGTTGCTGGTCACTACTGAATCACCTTGTTCCCCTGCAGTTAAAACCAGACATAAAACCCAAAAAAGCTGCAGCAATTTTTTTTTTCTGCTTGCTTAAAGGTGACTTTTTATCCATTTCTTCTTTTCTAACATTCTCCTACCCTATTACTACTGACTCATTTACATGAGGAAGAAAGGAAGATGCTAAAAATATAATCTAGTGCAGTCTTACGGTCCCAGTAACTGACTATTGAGTAGAGATCATAAATTCTCTTTCTGCACTTGCTTACCATTTGTAGCATTCTTTCTGAAAGAAATAGATAGCTATTACTTGTAAAAGTCAATGTCTAAATATTTCATATTTTAGAAGTAGTGCAGTGTCTAATTGCTGCATTATAATTACCCATTTACTGAAAACAATAATTTTCTTACAGGTCTATTCACACGCTCAATTCTTCATTTATGTAAAATTTAGATTCTTCTATTGCACGTTAACTGCTGCCAATATGAGAGAATTAAAAGCTATACTTTTCCCTTAGGTTGAAGCATGCCAGGGAGATTTAAGTACACTGGCAAACGTGGTGACTTCATTAGCAAATCTCAGTAAATGCAAAGACATGTCACAAAGCAGTACAGAGCTATCTATGATTGAGAGTTTAAGTAATGGAGATGCGTCATTATCTGAACTCCAGCAAGAAGAGCAAGGTAGTAGTGATGTTACAAGGTAAGGCATGTTAAACTTTAAAATATTATTCTTTTTGAGGTCTCTGTCAATTCAGACCATTAATTAAATCGTCACAGTGTAGGTAATTTATCTGCATTAAAAATAGTAGTAATAGCAGCCTGAGCTCATGTAAAAGATAAATCTTCTAAGATTTTTCCAAGTGAAATAAGGAAGTTCCATTTGAGAAATACATACTTTTAGTTGTTTGTGCTTGAAATCGATTTCAGAGTAAATCTTACAGCTGATTTTCTTACCTTTTGGTTTGCCTTAATAATGTGTGTTAGATCTTACGCTGTAGTCTTAGTACTTTGTATCATCCTGGAAAACTGTTTCTTAGAGATCTCATCTGTGTAAATAGTTTAATGCCTGTAACTATTAATTGCCTTAAAAGCTTGAAAAGCAGGAGAACTCAGAGAATTCTTACCGTCAAAACAAATGCATTCACTGAATATCTTACAAACTTGTGTCTTGCACTGGTTTTAACTGAGCTATTTTGGCAAGCATATGTGTAAGATATTCTGTGTAGTATGTACTCAGTTATTACGTCAGTCACCATTGTGTTCTTCCTTGGTTGTCGTCTCATGCAGGCTTCTGACAACCGTCCCAGCAATATTCCTTTACACACCATCTACATTGTACATACTGTTTTGAAAAGGTGTACGTGCAGTAAATCTGTCAAGGAAAAAAAAAAAGAATTGGTATATACTGAAGTAGTTTGTACTAGCTGAAATACAGGATTTCCCCTATAGACTCTACTGCTTTGTATAACTGCGAGCAGAATGCTTTTGTTCTGCTCCTTTCTTTATATGCTGCTTAGAAAGTCAATATGACTTTATATAGGTGCGGATTTGGGCCTTTGCTGGGTCCTCCTAGGTAGAGAATATAATATGCTGTGTAACTAGTATTATTGTACATGCTGATAACCTTCATTCAATACTATGGCTGTTGAAAAAGATGCAGCAATCTCATTTCTTTATTTCCTGGCACTTTCAGATGCTTGCTGTTGCCAACTTCAGTGTTTCTGTTCAGTTTTAAAAATCTGACTTTGAAAGTGCATCGAGTTCTCTCAGCCAGAGAGCTTGAAGCAGCTCTGACTCAGCTTAATGCATCCTCTTGTCCAGTACGTTACCTAATAGATTTCCAGTGGGGAGGTTCAAGTTAAGTATTCCTGTGAAAGCGAAATTGTTACCCAAGCAGAAACTAAAATTTTTATTTACATCTTTGATTTCCTTGCCAGGCCCTATGCCAGCTTCATCTAACAGGCACAGATGTTTACTGAAGAAAAGGAGTTTAAGGGATTTCAGGAAGCAAGTTTTATCCATCCATGTTTTTCATTTATTTTATTATATTCCATTGCTTGCAGCTACAGTAGTTAAACTTTCACTTTTGCTGACACAAATTTAGGGTGCAACTTTTCTGCTAGCATTCTGCTGCCTCTATATCGTAATGTTATATGCCTCATCCTCCAACGGCTTCATTATCTGTGGTCATTTTTTACAGTTTATCAGCAGTCCTATGTACCTGTTAGCGACTGGGCCTGATGGAAAGAGAACCAAAGCAGTTTCTAGGAAATTATATCAATACCATGTATTTTAATGTTGATTAGACCTTTTTTTCCTCACTTTGTGGGCTGGGTTTTCATAGCTTCCAGGCAAGTTTTGTTCTAGATTCTCTTTTCCTTGGTGTTTTACCTTGCAATCATTGCTTATGTTGGGGCTTTGTGTATGAAAAGCACCCATAGTGCTGAGCTGTGAGGAAGCAACGCTGTTTTTGACTTCCGCTGGTTTACTAGTGCCAGTTTGTGAGATAGGAGGGAGAAGATTTCTTTGAAAGCAAACATTCAGGAGTAAGTTGGAAACCAAGTATCATGGGCAGATGTGGTTGTACCTGCCCACCCTATATAAAAAGGACTCTTCAGCCTATAGTAGAATAAATACAGAATCATGGCAGATGCATATGACATTTACCTTTTGGGGAAAGGAGAGATCTTGTTCCTCTCTTACCTTCCTGGCCTTGCTCTGTCCTCTGCCCTGCAGAGATCCTATTCTTCTGAAGAAGCAGCTGCCACTGAGCTGCTGCATTTGCCTGTTCTACCTGAGGCTGCCAAGAGTGACCCATGCAGGGCCTGAAACTTAGATCTCCTAGCCGGAGTCTGATAATATAACTTCTAGAGCTTACCCAGGGATGCATTCCCTTTACGTCTACTTTCCATATACGAGAGACAGAAAACATCCCAGGTGTATCTGTGTTGTCCACCTGTGCATGATCCAGCCACTCTTACGTGTACACATCAAGGTATAGAGGCTAGCATAGGAGCAAAAGCTAGTTTATTTACTGCCTCAAGGTTGAGGCAGTGGCAGCAGCTCTTTTATTGAGATGTTTCGTTTGGTTGCAAATGGTTATGTCAAACATAGTAAACATTTAGATTTTTTTTTTTAGCATGTTAATGATCTAAATAGCTAGGGAGTGTGGGGAAAGAGAAGGTGGCAAAGTTTTACTCCAGACTTTGGCATTAAATCAGTGATTTTAGATTCTGTGGTAATAAACATATCTCTATAAATTGAGAATCAGCTCTACATACAAGCAGATAATCAGCTTCTCTAAAGTTTTCAGACCTCAGTGCGTAAGTTTTTCATGCAGCACTGTATACAAATGATACTGCTCTCAGAATATGTCATCTGTCTGTAGGCAGTGATCAAGACTGTATAATTTTGATTGAGGATATATCAGTTGTGGTTCTCAGGTGTATTTGTGAACAGAAAAACAATGGATCTGTCATCAAGCAGCAAAATAAGCAGTAATATACCTGTGCTTATCTTGACATCTCCCCTATAATGTTTGTGCACGTGACAGGAGTCACTGCCCCACATCAAAAGGTACTGAGGATGGTACTGAACGAAATTAGGTTGAATAACCTAACCACAACTCATTACTTTTTAAAAAAAAAAAAACAACAGACTTACTCTGTTTCTGCTTCATAGCAGCAAAAATCTGTAGAATTTTTATGTGCATTAAGTTGCTTTAACAGCAGTCTGATGATCATGTGCTTAAAACGCTCATGTCAGCACTCAGTAAACATCACCAAAGAGATCTTGAAAGGCAAACTGTGATTCAGCAGCACAGTCAGTGTGTCAAAACTGTGAATTTGTTGGCAACTAGTGTGAACAGGATCTGCTGCTAATTTTTGTTTCAGAGCCACTGTAAGTTGGAGTTTTCACGGATTTTGTTCGGTGGAGTGTCAGGAAAAGCACGCTACCAACTTTTATTTTCCTGATCTAGTTCTTTGAAACAGACATCTAGATACAGGTTTCAGACATGTGCAGGTTTCTCCTAAATTGAAATGATCTTTAAAATGAAGTTTTCTTTTTTTTGTTTGTTGTGATCTTACAGGGCATTTGATACTCTTGCAAAAGCACTAAATCCAGGAGAGAGTGCAGCGTGCCAGAACTCTGAAAGTGTTGAAGCCAGCGTACAGCTCATTGGTGGAGAAACAAGCATGAATGTCGTTGAAATAGAGGGGCCACTACTCAGTGATGCACATGTAGCATTCAGGGTACTTCATACTTTTTTTACCATTGGCTATTTCTACCCACTTTAACATAACTGATTAAATCTTACTTTGAATTTCTTAGAAGAGTAACTATTTATTCAGGTATTGGCATTCATTTCTGATGAATGCACCACTTTTGTTCACTGGTTCACTATTTTTTTGGGAAAATGTATAGCTCTTTTCAGTGGTTTAGCTGCACCGTTTATTTTATAGCTTCTTACCTTAAAAATAACTAGGTAATCCATGCAAAAGGATTTACATAGACAAGAGTCAGACGAAGCAGAGAATCAGCATCTACATTCTCGCTTGTTAACAGGTGGATCTGATGCAATCCGCAACTGGATTTTGAGACTCTTAAAGGATAAACTGACAAATATACTTGTGTATGTACCCTATGTTAGTGTGGTATTAATTGACTTTTATCATTAAGGGAAAATACGGTTTCTTTCTTGGCCATATTTTTTCTGGTTTTATTTCTCATTTTACAAGCCTGCAGCAATTCTTCTATCTGTCTTTTTCATCATGTTCTTATTCATGGGCAAATCAAACAGCTTGCTCATCTGAAAAGTTCTTCAGTACCAGGCATTTTATTAAACTTTGCCCCTCTGTGCTGGTTTAAGCTGGGAGTGAGTTAATTTTCTTCACAATAGCTGGTAAGGAGCTATGTTTTGGCTTTGTGCTGGAAACAGTGCTGATAACACAGGGATGTTTTCCTTACAACTGAGCAGTGCTTACACAGAGCCAAGGCCTTTGCTGCTTCTCACCCCACCCAACCAGTGAGCAGCTGGGGGTGCCCAAGAAGCTGGGAGGGGACACAGCCAGGAGAGCTGACCCCAGCTGACCAAAGGGATATCCCATACCCTATGATGTCATGCTCAGCAATAAAACTAGAGGGGAGGTTGGTGAGGAGGCCACTTCTCAGGGACTGGCTGGGCATTGGTCAGGCGGTGGTGAGCAACTGTTTTAATTTGCATCACTTCTCTTCCTTGGGTTTTATTTCTCTCTTTTTTTTTTTTTTAATTATTTTTATTACTTTCCTTTTCATTACAATTTTTATTATTTATTATTGTTGTTACTATTACAATAATATTTTATTTCAATTATTAAACTGCTTTTATTTCAGCCCACAAGTTTTGTCACTTTTACCCTTCCAATTCTCTCCCCTATCTCACGGGGGGGTTTGAGCAAGTGGCTGCGTGGTGCTTAGCTGCCGGCTGGGGCTAAACCACGACACCCTCTCATCAGCACACGTTTTGACGATTCAAATAAACATCTCTCAAATGTAAATGTATTTTTTTTTTTTTTTTAATTGTGTTAGCCAAACCATTTTTTAAGAAGTATTAATTTCTGATGATAAAACTACAACACTATATTTAGCAGTTTTGGGTCAAATCCCACTTTCTTCACATACGCAGGGAACGCCACTGATTTTACTAATGTACGTTGAGAAAGGTAGAGCTGGTTCTTTCTGATCTATATTGATTATACTTTTTAGGACTTGGGAGCAGCTGTATGTTAGGTATTTTACTCACACATCAAAACATTTTTGATGTTTTTATTTGTAAAATATTAATTAAAAGTACAAAAAAAGATGTTTTGTGAAATAGAATCCCCACACACACCCTCCCCAGGAATTGTGGTAGCTCCTGTAATTTTTGAGGCCACTTATTCCACTCCTCTGGGGAAAGCTTTAGAAAGTAATGATACCTCTGTGTTTGTATTTTTTATGTATTTCTCTCTATATAAATGTAAACAATTCCATTCTAATTACAATGATTCTTCTGAAACTTTTGTTCTTTGAGAGTCTCTCAAAAGTTGAGTTTTACTTGAGATTTTCCATCTCCAGATGTCCCAGGCATGAATATTTATCTGAGACAAAGATTTAAAAATTTTGCCTTTTTTGTTGCTTTGTAGTTACTATAGGGTGTAACACTGTGGCTAATAATGAAAAAAGCAGTCATTCAATTTTATTTCAGGATTATCTCATGTTTATTTAAAAAAACAGTGTTACTTTTTCACTTAAACTCTAAGAGTGATTTTTTCTTACCATGGTTTTTTATGAAGAAAGTAAAATAACTGACTTGCACCTTGGTTTTTTTGTCCTTTTTTTTTGTTGCCAGCTCACCATGCCTTCTCCTATGCCTGAATATCTTAATGTTCACTATATCTGCGAGTCTGCCTCCAGGTTGCTTTTCTTGTCCATGCACTGGGCACGTTCCATTCCATCTTTCCAAGCTTTAGGGTAAGTGTTCAGTCACTCTGTTCGCTCATGTTGTGAGTACACACTTCTAAATTTTTTATTTTCTATGTTGTCTTCTGCGACATTTTGTAATATAAATATACTTACTAAAACTGCTTTATAGATCTTCATCATGAAGGTAAATTTTCTGAATCAAAACTACTCCTAACTTCAGTCCATTTCAAGTACTTTGGTTGTGTTTTGAAGGAAAAATGACTAGATTTATAACAATGAAATGCCTGCACACTGCTGCTACTGTAATAAATTTTTAGTATATAGGACTTCCTATTGCTTTTTAATAGCTGCATCCCGAACTAAGATGCTTATCAGGCAGTCACCAAAAAGAAGCTCCTCCTTGGATCCCCAAATATTGTTATCTTTATAGGCGAATTAGTAGTAATAATTTTGTCTTTAATAACCTATATGAAGAAAATGGTTACCTAGATTCAGGAAGCATTCAGGATTAAGTTGTTTAGTTTCAGGGGATTTTCCAAAAGCAGATGATTGCTGTAACCAGAAAGTAATACTTATTATTCTTTTTACAGTTTGTATAATGTCCTGCTTTTCCAGCAGAATTCAGTGTTTCACTTAAAATTCTTAAGCTAAATGTAGTAGTACATTGCTGTTCATGATGAGAAAACATCTCAAAACAGCATGGGGAAAAGTGATTTATGTTATTTGCAGAAGTAACTTTATGGAGACACATCAAAGAAAGATACTGTATCAGCTCTGACACAAATGGAGTATAAATCATGTTTGTCTGTTCTCATCTACAGTGTTTTTCTTTAATTCAATGTCAAAATAGTGTATGACTGTGGCAGCAAAGAGAATTCCTTTTTAAAGTGAGGGATTGTCCCCTTTTCCAGGAAGACTGTCAAAAGCGGGATGATCTGTGATTACCATTTGTGTTTGAGTAAACACACAGATTTTTAAGCCAAATGATTCTACAATGTTTAAGGAAAGATACTATATTGTGTGTAATTGAAGCCTGTTTTTTGGAGAAAGAAAAAATAAAATTCTATAAAGTTAAACAATAGCAAGGGTAAAAAAATCAGGTAAATATGATGTTTTGTTTTAGTAGAAAGTGTTGCCCTACAGAATTTCAAAATTTGCAGGAAATTAATATAGAACATTATATCATTATGTATTTTTTAAAGGTTTTTGTAACAGAGAGACACTGCAAATGATTGTTACAAGTGGGAATTGCTTTATAAAAGTAAAATGTTGTACAGAAGACCTGTCTCTCCGAAAAGATTTAACAAGAAATGCGTATAGAAAATCTGCATATTTTTTTGAATATGTTACTTCCCAGTATATTTTTCTGTTTGAATAAAAAACGGAGGAGTAGGCTGCCTTAATAGTTACTGTGCTAGCATTTACAGTCCCAGTCCAGATCATGGGCAACAGCATATTTAAATACCATTTAACATAAATTTACAGTTTCCCTTTTGAAGAGCTTAGAATATTAACTTTTTTTTCAAGTGGAGATTTATTTGAAATTAATGCAGCTTTTTTAGTTTGAGCTCATTATGTACTATAATTTTGACTTTTAGAAGGGTGACTCATTTCACTATGAAGAGGAATTCATGGTACTAGTAATTGAGAGGAGTTGACGAGCCAAAAAAACCCATAGTAATGGTTTTGTAAGGAAGATAGATAATTGTATCCAGGTGGTTCCCTCCTCAGGCAATGTTTTCTGTAGTGTCTTCTGTAGTGTTTTCTGTAGGCTTTGGCATACAGAATTAGTTAATGATACCACATTTTTGCTTAGTTCATCTTTCTGCATGAGGATCTTTGTAGGCAAGAGAGATTCCTACTGAAATGTTCATCAAGCTGGTTTACAGCCTCTTAGTTTTTTGAGGCTGCCTGAGTTTGATCAGCTGGTTCTCGTCTAAATTTGATGAGGCATAAAGTTGCTCTAGATGAGACATTTATCTACACCCATACCAGCTGAGTAGCCAGTACAGCCTATTTTCACTGTTTCTCAGCATAGTCTCCCTGACGGGAGATGAAAGGGGATGTGACAAATACATGTAGAAGATGCATGTACAGTATCATGTCTACCATAACAAGAACTGGATCATAGTAAAAAATATTACCCTAGGTAAACTCTGTGTAATCCAGTACAGGGCAAGTCTACATTAATCTGTCGTTTGACATATTAATAGTATTGCAGTAAATCATCAGAAACGTTCCTGAAGATTTCATGAAAATTCTTGCAAAAATCCATTCCATTGTATTTTTTTTAGTTGAAATCCTAGTTTTAATATGCTTTACTTCTTTGATAGGTCTTGTGCTTCTTTAAACTTTCCATTATTTATATTTACTGGCTAAAACTGTGAAACATGGTACCTGAATTTGACTTCTCACTTGTAGGATTTCCTTTTTAAGATACTGAGCTTTTGTTAAGCTCTACGAGTTAGAGATGCTTGGCAATACTGAAAGTTAGGTTACTAATATGGAAGTGCCTGAATATGGATTGATACAGCTAATTTTAAGCTTCAGCATTTGAAAAAAAATACTGACTAGACATGAAATCTAATTTAAGGACTAATTCCAGCAAACAAATCTTCATGACTTTTATTTATACTTCAAAGTCTGTATTTCAATCCTGAGTCAAACATGAAGAGGATACAGAAAATAGCAATCAGGAAGTTCAGGAACTTGATCTCACATGTTCCATTTCACATGTATTTTTAATGAAGAAATTATCCCAACCTGCCTGATTTCAAGTAAAAAAAAAAAAAAAAAACACCTTTGAGTCTAATCTACATCCACAATACAGGAGCAATGCAAACTTTTTTTTGTCCATGCATGTAAATGTTATCCAAAAATGAGCATAAATCCTAAGAAAACTAGCATGGTGGAATACACCTAGACAGTTGTCATTTACTTCATCTTGCTTTTGTGATAGAGATCTATTTCCTTTTGGATTATTAAAACAAAAAATACTTCTTTACAAATGTCACTCTAAAACAGGTATTTTAATCCTAGCATGCAAATAAAAATACTTTTGATGTAGGGCTTCATTTTGGTACTAGTTCCAATGGTTGAATTAGATGAATGTTTTATGAATTGTTCTTCAAATTAAAAAAAAACCTGTGTGAATGCAAATGGCTGGTTTTATTAAGTGAAATTATTGTATTTTTTAATAGACAGGATAACAGCATATCATTAGTAAAAGCCTGCTGGAACGAACTTTTTACGCTTGGTCTTGCACAGTGCTCACAAGTTATGAATGTGGCAACTATATTAACTGCATTTGTTAATCACCTTCATGGCAGTTTACAGCAAGGTAAGGTGTATACTATGCACATTGCCAGATTTGGGGAATTACTTCATGTTTTATAAGTTTTGAACTGTGCAGAAATTTTATAATTATCGTTCAGTTGTTAATGAAAATTTACTGTTTGTAGAGTTTAGCAATTAGTATTGAAACAAAATAATACTAGAAAATACAGTTCACAAGATGGAATTTTTTAGTAATTTTGCAGAAGTCAGCTATGCTAATACTTCCTTCCCCCAAATTAAAATATAAATAATAAAAATTACCCATCCTTCTAATATAGGTTAGCATTTACTTTTTTTAATTGTGTGTCTGTGTAAAGTCTAATAGCGTTCTGCTGCTAGTATATGTCAGCTCAAATTAGGAATATTTCAGGCAGCATCAACATTAAGAACACAAGAGTACTGTGAATATGAATCCTCTGTATCAAGGGTATAAAGAATGACCCACCTGTCCTTGCTGTTCATACCGGTGAAACAAAGCAGCCAAATGCCAACATGGTGATATACTTCCTTTACATAACTTGGCTTGTTGACTTCTGTATACTAGTTTTAGACTACATGCAAGTCTTCAACAGATCTTCACTAAGTATGCTTCCTTTCTTATTAATTCTACATCCTGCATCTTCTGTGTGTTTTTCATTCGACTGAAAGATGTCAGTTGGCCTCCTCTTTCGTCTGCAGCGAAGGAAATGTTCTTCTCAGTGGTAGGGGAGTCTGTTAGCTAATCGTTAGGTGCTTGTGAACGCTCAGGTTTTCAGCACTAAAAGCTAACCAATCAAAAATAGTATAGTCTTCATTTTTTCATTGACTTAACACATTTTTAATAAGGTAGATGCACATACAATAATTGTAGCATTTTCAAGTTTAACTAGATTTTAGGGTTATTTGCTGTTATCTGGATGAAAATTCACTATCATTAATACTATGCAAAAACAGCCCACCAGACTAGATTTTCCCTGTCCTTTTATGATGAGGGAATTAAAGAATTATTTCTGAGGATTTTTCATGATTTAAAAATATCCACAAGATCCTCCTATAAATAACAATAGTTTATAATTAAAACAAATTTATTAAACCACTAAATGTAATGGATCATCTAAATATACTAACAAATCTATGAATGTCTTTAGGAGGGATACAAAAATGGAATTTGGGAACTTACTTTGATCTCTATAATTTTTAAGCCTGTTCACCAAAAAGGGTTTTGTAGTAATTAATAATGGTTTTATCATTGCTACAAATACATATTTTTGCCATCTAATTTGGGAATTCAGTTTGAATGCAAAAATCAGAAATTTATAACCAACATCTTACGGTTGTGTAGTATGCCAGCCACAGCATCTCCAAGAGATAACAAGTTTGGCCCAGGGACCCTCGTTTGATGGATTGTGAGGGGAATGGGATTTTGAGGCTGCTCAACTATTGCTGACCCAAGGGGAACAGCTCTGCACCAACTGCATTCCCCTAGATGCAAATCAGGAAAGGTGTATAGTGCACCTTCTTTTTCAGCAGTGGCACAGTGTTTGACTGACTAAAATTACCCATGAAACTGTACACTAACCTGCCTCATGGCACCTGACCCTTCAATGTAGACCACAGGTCTGCAGTAGCAGTGTATTCTTTATGTATAAGTAGTCTGTCCCTTCCTTGATCATTTCAAGCTCTAGTCTGCCTCTGATTATTGGAAGCTTTAGCGGCAAGAAGAAACCTAATTAATTGTACAACGTAGAGGGGGAAAAAAAGATTGTTATAGTCCATAACTGTTTGTGTCAAGATTATTCAGACCTAGTATGTGAGTTTACAGGTGGCGTAGATTTCCCACTGTTTGAATCTAATACAAATCCTTATTTTTAAAAATCCAGTGTGACCACATTTTTTGCATGCACGTTGACTTGGAGGTTTTGTATTTTATGTGTGCATTGACTTAGATAAGCTGCCAACAGACAGAGGAAAATTAGTAATGGAGCATATCTTCAAATTGCAAGAGTTCTGTAACAGCATGGTTAAGCTTTGCCTAGATGGATATGAGTATGCATATTTGAAAGCGATCGTCCTCTTCAGTCCTGGTATGTAATAATTCCAAATGTAAAACTTTGCCATATAACTTCTGCCTGTTTCATTATATGCAATTACTATCACCTGTAGAATTACTGCCTGTATTGTTGAGGAATCAGGGAAGGTGTGTAATGAGGATTGTAGGAAGAGGAGGGTTAGTCTTTTAATATAAATAGTTGAATGCTGCTTTGGAGACTTAGTTTTACTCTCACCTCTGCCATTGAGGTTTGGGTTTTTTGATACTTGTTTGTTTATTGTTTTTAATTCTGTGCCTCCTTTCTGGGGTACTTTTTCTGAGGACCTGCAGTTTAATTTTCAGAAGCGTTGCTCTTGCACATCCAGCTGAGATGGACTGAAGTTGTGTTTTTAATGCATGAAAGGCTATCTCTCTGGGCATTGATTCCCACATGCAAAATTAGAATCATAGAATTGTTTAGGTTGGAAAAGATCTTTAAGATCATCAAGTCCAACCGTAAAGCTAGCACTGCCAAGTCCACCACTAAACCATGTCCCTAAGCACCACATCTATGCATCTTTCAAATACCTCCAGAGGTGGTGACTCAACCACTTCCCTGGGCAGCCTGTTCTGGTGCTTGACAACCCTTTCAGTGAAGAATTTTTTTCCTAATAACCAATCTACACCTCCCTTCATGCAACTTGAGGCCATTTCTTCTTGTCTCCCATTGCTTGTTACTTGGGAGAAGAGACCAACACCCACCTGGCTACAGCCTCCTTTCAGGTAGTTGTAGGGAGCAGTAAGGTCTCTCCTCAGCCTTCTTTTCCCCAATCTAAAAATCTTTTCCCCAGTTCCCTCAGCCATTCCTCATAAGACTTGTGCTCCAGACCCTTCACCAGCTTTGTTGCTTTTCTTTGGATGCGCTCCAGCACCTCAGTGCCTTTCTTGTAGCGAGGGGCCCAAAACTGAACACAGTAGTCGATGTGCGGCCTCACCAGTGCTGACTACAAAGGGACAATCACTTCCCTAGTCCTGCTGGCCACAGTATTTCTGATACAAGCCAGGATGCTGTTGGCCGCCTTGGCCACCTGGGCACACTGCCAGCTCATATTCAGATGACTGTCAACCAATACTCCCAGGTCCTTTTCTGCCAGGCAGCTTTCCATAACATCTACAATATGGATGAAGAAGGGTCTTCTGGTTATAACAGCTAAGTACTTAAGATTATGTAGCACTTATGCCTGAACTACAGAAAATTACAAAAATAATTTTTTTGAAAATTGTAGAATTGTAGAATTAACTTTTCACTTAAGGCATTCAGATATTATATCAGTATACTGCAGGTCTTAGAGTCATCATTCAGAATTTAGGGATTTAATATAAAACCAAAACCAAATCTTTGCATAAAAGAAAAATGTATAAACCTCAAGTACTTTCTGTATCTCTGGGGATTTTTCACTGTCACATTTAGAAAGTAAATCTTCAGTCACTCCATTTTACATTAGAAAGTTTTTAAAGCATCAACAGCTTCATTAATCCTCACTGCTCTGCCTTTTTTAGATTCTCATGTCCCATAAAAAAGATCAGAGAAAATTTTAAAAAGCTATCTCCGTTTTAGTGACCTACTCCCCCCGGTCAGTAGTGTAGAATATGGAGGAGGACTGGGTATTTGGTTCTTGTCAGTTCCGTAGATTTATTAGATCTGAGAAGAACCTTCCATTCAGTTGCAGCTCACCATTCCATAGAAGAATTAGTTGAGGTGAGAAATCTTTTGGAACTTGGACACATCAATAATGTAAAATTTAAGCAGGTTTTCTAATATATATA